CGACTTGCTGCCTGACCTGTGACCCATGGAAGTGGAAGAGCACCACGAATTTGCATTTCTCTCACTGGCGCTTGCTCTGGATGTTGCTGCGGCTTCTGCGCTCACCTCTTCGTGCTTGGTGCCCCGCCACCCGTGGTGCTGTGAAGTGGGGCCACACTGAGCAACTCAGCCCAGAGGGATCATGGGCCCTGCCCAAAAGCACACAGAGAGAGGGCCGAGCCAGAATCCCAACAGGGCGGGGCTTGCTCTCCAACTTCTGTTTTTCCTTCGCTCCACGGCTCTGAGCCTTCCTGGCCTTTGTGGGCTATCGGAAGAGCTGTGCTCAGCCCAGCTGCGGGTTTCTGCTTCTCCTCACATGTGGCCCTTGAAGCGCTGAGCTCCCAGAAGGCCAGCTCCCTTTCAGCATGGCCTTCCCTCCCTCCCTGTCCTCTGGTTTCCCGGCCCAGCAGCTGATTCCTGTGCCCCTGGAAGTCCCTTCTCCTCTGAGGCTTTGAATGCACAGCTGCTGCACACAGACGCTGTGCTGGCCTGGTCTTGCCCTGGGTCTCAGTTTACCCTTCTGCCTCAGGTGAGGAGGAGCCATTGCCCTGGTCTTTGTACTCTTTCTGCTCTTTTGTCTCTCCTCAGCACAGCCTTCTCACCCACCAAGCAGCCCAGCATTGCTCACCTTGCTTTGCTGCTGCCACTGGCTTCCGGGGCACAGGCCTGGTGGCACGTAGAGGCTGAGGCAGGATGTTCCCAGCGGGGTGCTCTCTGCTCCATTATTGCCTCAGACAGACCACGTGCTCATTGGGCAGGGGTGGAGGGGACAGGGTCTCCAGGGTTGTTTGTGGGTGGGGGTGACTCTGGTCCCCACAGCTCCAGCCCCTGCACTCTAGGTCTACATGTAGGAGGCAGAAAGGGCTTCAGGGTGGACTCTGTCTGCCACAGTCATATTGGGTGGCCCTCATGCCCGGCTCACATTCTCTTGGGCAGAAAGGTCATTGCCTGGATGTGTATGAGAGCTGGGCCTGGGGGCAGGTAATGGGGCTGCATGGGCTCTGGGAGTTAGGGCAGGCTTGTCCTCGCTGGGAAAGCCCTGGGGAGTAGTGCTGAGTGAAGGCTTGGGTAGGGACTGAGGCTCCTGATGTAGGGTCAGACTGGGCTCTCCACCTCCTCACTCGGGCCTCAGGTGCCCTGGCTCATGGGGGCTGCAGGAGAGGAATCGGGGGTCCTTGTAGCCCTGGTACCTGGGTGCTTCACACAGATGCTGAGAGGAAGGACAAGTGACCAAATCACCAGAGATCATAGAAGGACCTGCTAAGAGAGAGGGATCTGGTGCTCAGAGTGAACCCCACCTCCTGCCACTCAGCCAGCCCTGGGGTGTAGATGGGAGAAGCCAGTGCTCAGGTCTCAAAGGCCTTGGGAGGAGGAGCAGCAGCCAGGACTCTCTTTAGGAAAAAATTTTTTTTTTTTGGTTTTTCTCCGGTACCGGGAATCGAACTCACGACCTTGCACTTGCCAGGCAGGCGCTGTGCTGCTGAGCTAAATTCTCAGCCCCAAGGGAAAATTTTCGTTAGGTGAGCGTCTCTGGTTTATGCTAAGAGCCCCATCCAACCCTCCAACTGTCCTGGGAGGTGGGAACGAAGCAGGTGAGGGGACCGCCAGGCAGTTGGGAGGTTGCTGGCTCTTGGGTCCCCACACTGCATAGTTGCCTTAAAAATGCCTGGGCAGGAGCTGCTGTTGCGCAGAGGGCTGCAGCCCCATCTCTGTGCTTGCAGGTCCCTGGGAAGGGAAACTTTTGTTCAGCTCTGAACTCCCCACCGTCCAGCTGGCCCCACTGATACAGGTGCAGACCCTAAACAGCCAAGGGACAGAATGAGGAGTCATGTGCCCACACCTATCTCCCTCACCTTAACAGCTCACCCTGGGCCTCAAAGCCCAGGTGCTGCTGGGGGCTGAGTGGTGAAGAGGAGGTACCCTTCTGGGCAGGGCCCAGGGCCCAGCGCTGGACAGGCCAGCAGCATTGGAAGGTGGTTTTCCCCTCAGCCAGGAAGGGTCTGCAGAATCCAGGACCCATTGCATGTTAAGAAGGGAGGTCTCCTCCTTGCAGGTGACCCAGCAGAGCCACTCCCTTTCAGCTCACACCCCCGTCCAGCTGTGCAGTTGCATCTGTCCAAAGGCCTGGCCTGATTCCCTGCTTTAGGACCCAGGACCTCTTTCCTGGGCATCCATCATATGGCATCACCTGGCAGTACCCTGCCTGGGTCCAGGTGCCTCCATGGCCTAGGGAGTGTCCTATAGGCTCTTTGCAAACCCTTATTTTATTCTGAAATCTAACAGGCACTTGCTGAATGCCCCAGTGGGTACCAGGCTGCACCAGGGGCTCCTGGCTCCAGCCTCCCTCCATTCCCAACGGGGACCTGATGGGGAGGTGCTGGGGCAATCTGGGGGTGGGATTGGCTCAGCTGTAGGCACTGGGATCCCAGGATAATGTCTGAGTCAGCGGGCAGGGCTGCAGTCTCGGGGCCTCACAGACCAGCTGGGCAGTAGGGAGCTAGAGCCTGCTTGGGAGGGTATAAGGAGCAGAATTATTGGCTTTGCTCCAGGAGGGTGGGGCTCAGAGGATGAGCCTGGATAGTCTGGGCTCAGCAGGTCAAGTAGGGTACGGTGAGGAAGCAAAGCCCCTGTGGTTTGTCTGCTGCCTTTAAGCATTTACTATGTGACTGGCCTACTCTGTGTATAGATATCTCATTGCCACTAAAACTCTTCCCACACTGTTTTTTTCTTTTTTCTTTTTTTTTTGGTGGTACTAGGGATTGAACCCATGCTAGGAAGTGCTTTCCCATGGAGTCATGTCCTTGGCTCTTTTTATATATTTTTTATTTTGAGACAGGGTCTTGGTAGTCCAGGCTGGTCTTGATCCTCCTGCCTCAGCCTTCCAAGTAGTTGGGATTACAGGTGTGTATCTCTGTGCTGGGCTCCATGTTCTTTTGAGGGGCATGCTCACTGCTCCCCATTTTGCAAGTAGGGTAGGGGAGGGAGGTAGAGGGGCTGCAGTCCATCCTGCCAGGGTCTATTCCTTCTGGCACCCTGACCAGAAATGGGACCCTCAGGTTAGGCTGGTGCCAGGCCTTGAGACTGGCTTTCTAGGGGACCTACACAGAGCCACTCAGGGACGCCACTGAGGAGGGGATCGTGGACAGAGGAGGTGGGTGTCTGAAGAGGCAGGAGTCCCTCCGCGGCCCCCCCAGCAGATGCTCCTGGCACCCAGTGGACACTGGGGACCTCAATAAGGGAGCCCAATTTGGAGACAAAGGCCTGGCTCTGTGGACAAATACTCATGGATATTGTCAGCCCGGCCGCCAGGCAGGGAGGCGAGGCCCATAAAGGGCCGAAGAAAGGGGCTGAGGGAGGGCGCCTGAATGGGCCGGGGCTGCACATGCCACGGTTGCCCAGGCGACGGCCCTCTCATGGAGAGGTCTGCTGGGCCATTGTCCGGGGCCCGCAGGACGTGTCACACACCAGATGGTCGTGTGCTGTCTAGGTCACTTATCGGGGGACAGAGTGAAGGAATGCGGCCGTCGCGGCAGGCCGGGGCGCCATCTGTTCCCTCAGACCGAGGGTACCGGGTGGGCATGGAGCTCTCGGCCTGCCGGCCCAGCCTCCACTGCGGCTTTAATTAGCTAATTCCATAATTGGGCTTTATTTCAGGTAAATTGCATTTCACACCCGAGAGGGCCGCTAAAGCTCCTCTAGGAGGGAGGCGCTTGGGCACTTTGTGTGCAGCCCATAATGGGGCAACAAAGCCGGGTGGGTGCCGGAGCCTTGCCCTGCCCAGATGGGCAGACCCACCCGAGCTCCCATGGGCTGCGGCCATCAGGAAGGCCCACCTTCCAGCCAGAGGCGTGGGGCTTCCACAAATATTTACCCAACAAGGGACAACAGTGCCTACTTTCCATCAATTGTTCCCCCCAACCCAGGGTGCTTGAGGTCTGAGCTTCCCCTTCCTTCCCACTAGCCAGTGCTGATCAGACCACACGCTAAGACTTCCTTGTGGGGAGCCCCTAAGAGGAGGAGACCCTGGGGGGCTCAGCAGGAAGGGGCCCTGGGGGCCTTCTCCAACACAGACCTACCCTACTACCCACACCTGGATCTCTTGTCTCACTCCTGGCCACCACTGGCCCCACAGACTCGGGGACAGATCCATACGTAAGCAGTCAGATGCCTCCAGTTCTGATGGCCTGGGGATTCAGGTGGGCTCTAGAGGGAGGACAGAGGGAGACGCACTCAGAGGGGAGTGGGTCCAGAGTGTCCCTGTGAATGACCCTGCTTCTTTCTGTGGGTGGAAGTGGAAATGGGATGGCTCAAAAGAGAACTGTAGGCACAGTGCTTACAGGCTGGTGGCATCCAGCTGGCATATGTCTCTGGCTGAATGAACAGGGTAGTGGAGGCCTAGAGGGAGTAGGTGTGAGCATGTGGGGGCCCCAGGGCTCCTGCCTGTCTTTGTACCCCACTACTTTAGGGGTCCAATCCTTGAAGTCCTAGAGGGTGGACTTTTGGCACCCTGGGTTAAAGGCCAGCCTGGTCTGGGAGGGGCGGATGGAGAGGCCAGGTCATGTCTCTGAGGATGGCCGCCCAGGGGCACAGGACTGACTCAGCTAGGCCAGACCCTGGAGCAGATTCACCTCTGGGACACAAGATTTGCCAGAAGACAGGCAATGACTATGTCATGGCCACTAACTGCCTGAGGTAGAAACTGAGGCCACCAGAGCCCAGAAATGACACAGAGCTGGGCTGGAGGCTTTTTTGCAGCCCTCTGCCCCTCTGTGCTCTCTGAGCCTAGGGTCCTCTTGGGGCCTGGACAGGGAGCATCTGTCTCCAGCAGTCACAGGGTCCTGTCCATGAGGAAGGTCGTGGAGGATGAGGAACAGCTATGTCTAGGTCGGCCTGGGAGGGGCCCCAGGTTGTCCCACAGATCCCATTGATCCCTCAAAATCAAGGTGAGGACAGTGCAGAGATCATCTCATGGAGCTCCATGTTTATTAGGGAAAGGCTGTGCGATTAACAATCAGAATCACTGTGAAATCATTACAACAAGATCCCAAATCACCACAGATCATTCTGATTTCGATGAGATGTAATGCCCAGAAGGAACCCATCCTGTGCAGAAACTGTGACACCCTTTAAACTCTTCCATGGCTCAGCAGCTGGCTGAGGGGAAGTGTCAGCTCCCGTCTGTGTGTCTGCCCACCTGCTCAGAAGGAGCAAGGAGCCAGAGGAGGGGCCACACGCAGAGCAGGCAGGGAGGACCCTGCTTGCATGGTGGAGAAGCTCCCATGGTGGAGAAGCTGTCCCCTGGATAGAGAAGCTGCCTGTCCAGGGTAGAGGAGGAGGGGATATCGTCAGTCAGTGATGTGCCCTGGGGAAGCTGTGACCTCAGGCCACCCCTGGTCCCCTGCCCAAGAGCTCGGCATCTCTAAAGAAGGAGGGAGCCAGGCCCCAACTCACTGAGTAGGCTTTCAGGCCTTTGCCACGGGCTGGGCCTGCCCTGCCCTCCCTGCTCCTTGCTGGGTCCTTGGAACCATCGCCCTATTTTGATCTTTCCTGTGTCTCCTGCGAGGAAGCCTCCTGGCCCAACCATGATGGCCTCCCTCAGACTATGCCGTGTTCTGGCCACTCCCCGGCCAGGCTGGGTACCTTGGATGCACCTCGTCACTGGGTCCCAACCACCCTGTGATCAATGTTGTCACAGCGATGAGGGTGCCAGCTCAGACCTGAGAAGGACGCCAGACCCAGCCGAGTTCTAGTACCCACTGGTGCGAGGAGGCAACTATGGTGGGCCCCTGAGCTCAGGCTCTGTTGGGTGGTATGGTCACAGTGTCCAGGCTTGGGCTGCCAGGCTGTACTCTCAGGGTCTTCCAGGAGGTGACCCTGGGTTGGCTGGGGCTCCCTGGGCCTCCTCTTCCAGGCCTGCCCCAACCCTAGTCCCTCAGGATGCCTCATCGGGGCCCCTTCGGGGCACAGTTAGCTGTTCGTAGGTGGGCAGGGAGTTGCTGGGCAGGAAGAGCTCAGGGTGGATGGAGCCATCTTCGCTACAGGGTTGGACCATTTGGGGTCCACCCCCACTGTGGGGGCCACCTTGGTGCAAGGAGAGCAGCTGGTGGAGCATGTCCGTGATGACCACCAGCCTCTGGTCCAGTTGTGTCACCTGTGGGGACAGAAACAGTTGAGTTCAGGAGCACAGCCTTCTGCAGATTATTTCAGTGCTGGCTGGTGAGGCCTAGAAGGTGGGGGGGATGCTGCTACATGCAGGTGAAACCACCATGCGTCCTTGGTCACACCCCTGTGTGCATATGGAGTTCATCTGTGTGTGCTTACTGGGATGTGTGGCCTGTATGTGGGGTCCCTGTGTGTGTCCACACTTGTAGAACTGAAATAGCTGGCTGGAGCTCATGTCTCAGCCCTCTCCTGGGCCCTGTTGTCTCTGCAGCTCTGCCTGGCCCCCTGGGGCATTGGGCACAGCAGGATCTGCACTAGGGGCCAGGGCCACGGCCAGGAACACTGGCTTTGTTGCAATCTTTGGCTCCTTTGAGCCAGGCTGCGGGACCTCGGGCTGGGGTCACTAGAGCCCAGGGACTGTGTCTTCCCTGCCTGGAGGACAGTTGGAGCCATATGTGGGGATATGAGTTCAGCGGGGCAGGCTAGGTATGGGGGGGTGGCACAGGGACAGGTGCCCAGCAAATGCCTGGGAGGGGACTCAGGGGACAGAGGCCCCACTGGGTGGACCAGTGGGTATGACCTGTGGTACTTTCAGGCCAGGATCTTGCCTCTGGCCCCTCCTTTATAGCTTGGCCATGGGGACTTCCTGCTGTCATCTCCCCCAGGATCCCTTCCATGGTCATCGAGACACCACTGTCTTCCAGACCCAATGAGTCAGATCAGTGCTCAGCAACGTGGCTCTGCTACATGCCTGTTAAGGATCTGTTCTGTGCCAAGTGCGGGGGTGGTGAGGGTGACAGAGAGGGGAGGTACAGGCAGGGCAGGACCTGGGACAAGCCTGGCACAGAGTAGGTGTCCTACAGAGGCAATGGCTCAGAGAAGCCCTTGTGTGAACTGGAGAACAGGAGACCAGGGAGCTCCTGGGAAGGAAGGTGCAATCTTGGGATTGGAAGTTGCTGGTCAGTTATATTGCAAGGTGGAAGAAGGCTGTGAGCCAGAAGGAGGTGCCTGGTCTGCCGTGAGTAGTGGGGCTGGGGTCCTAGCCTGAATAAGGGCTTAGGCAGCATACACAGGTCAGTAAGGGTCTCAGCCACTGACCATAGGGCTATCCTTCAGCTAGCTGTGCCCATGGGGCTAGCTTTCTCAGGCCATTGTTAATAGAAAAACCCTTTCTCCTCTCCCACCACAGGTACCTGGAGCAGTGGAAAGACCAGAAGTGGGGGTAAGAGCAGGGAGATGATCAGACAGGCCTACAGATCAGACTCAGACTGTAAAGGGTTGCTTCAGGGAAAACTGTGACTTCAGGGTAAATACCACAGCAATGACCCAGACCTGGTGACTGACTGTCTCTGGCCCTGAGTGCGTGCTGCAGGCAGGTACTGGCTGTGGCACCTGTCCATCTGGACATGCACGTCTCATGCACCAGGTCTTTACCCCAGCTTGCTCTAGGCAGGCCTATGCCAAGGCCTTACCCGGGGCCTCTGCGGCTGAGCTGGCTGGCTGAACTCAGCTGGGTTGCTGGCCTGTGGGGGTGGGTGGCCCAGGGGAGAGGCTGGCAGGTGATGTGCACACCAACCTTGTCTTGGTTGGAGGGGAACAGTTTGCCAGGGCCCACCTGGACCCAGGCCCAGCCTCAGAGGATTAGTGCTGTGGTCACCAACCCCTTTCCTACTATGGGCACTGAATGGAGGGGCAGGAGCACTCAGGAGAAGAGAGGTCTTGCTCAAGGTCATTCATGGGACCACCTTAGCTTCTACCCCAGGGCTCCATGCCTGGGTCACAATGCTGTCAAGAGGGGGGACAGTCATGTCAGGGCAGGGGTGTGGCCCAGTCAAGACCCCAGGAGCAGTAGATGGAACAGAGGGTGGGTGGTGCTCAGTGGTGGTGAGGTGGGGGTGGCTGTGGGGGAGGAGACCTGACCCTCTGTTCACCTGCACACAGACCTTGCAGAGCAGCTGGACCAGCCTCCTGGTCCCACTGCTTGCCTGTAGCCTGTAAGGGCCATGGGAGGGCATCCAGGCTTTGAGGCCAAGGCAACCTCATGCACAGATCAAAGCTGGGCTGGACCCTTGGGATGAAAGCTGGGTTCACCCCCAGGGCTGGGACCTCTTCCTTGAGTGAGATGGCTCTCAGCTTGGCTTAATGTTGTCTAGCCATGCAGGCCCCAACTGGGATATTGATTGGTTTGGCATCAATTAAAGCACCAAATATATCACAGAAGAAAATGTGTGGTTTCATAAATTTTCACTTTATGGCTCTCGAACATCTGTTGAAGCCCAGTGTGCTAAAGGGCAGGGCTATGTACTAATGTACAGGGAAGCCTTTATAGCTCATGCTTGGGAAAGCAGAGTGGGAGGGTAGCTGGATACAGACAAGATGTGGGGCTGCTGAATGTGGCTAGGGAAGGGGTTGTCCTGAGGCACCTTGGGGTGACAGCACCCCCTGAAGTCAGCCTAACACATTGTAGAGCCCTATTCAGCTTTCTGCTGGGCAGGGGCAAGAGCCCAGCTGCTACAGGTCCAGCAGGCCTCTGAGTGCCACCAAAGGGTATTCCTAAAGCTGATCTGCTTGGATTGGTTCCCAAGTCATCATGGCCCCCATGGCTGTTGCCTGTGGAGGGCTTCATCAGAGTCTCCAGCCCCAGGAATGTCCCATTAGCCAGGCTGCTGGAGGCAGGATGTGGGTGAGGATCCCCAGCTAGTCCCAAGTCTAGACCTCATGCTGTTCTCCAACTGTAACCCCTCTGAAGCTTCCCGGTGTCTGAGGGGCTCCTGGGTTCTCCCAGTCATCTTCAGGGTCCTTCCGGTTTCCCAGTTGCCTGAAGGATCCTACTGGGTCTGTCTGGGCACCTTGGTGTCCTGTTGGGGCTTCACATCATCCTGGGTGTTACCTGTGAGTCTTCCCTGGTTCTCCTGCCTGCTGCCCAGCTCTAGCCCCTACCCCAGCTCCATGCACAGGGCTCCTCCTCTTCACTTGGCTGGTCAGTTGCCAGGTGTGGTGAGTGTGGGAAGAGTTGGCAGGCCTAGCCCTGTGGGGTACAAGCTGGCCATGTTATTGTAAATGCCACCCACCTGAGCGGGCCCTCTGCTGGACTCAGTGGTTGACCTTGCTCAAAGGCCCAGCCCCTCTCCCCCAGGTCCCTGCTGTTCTGTTCACTGCTGGCTCTGCACTGCCTTGGCTCTGTCCTGCCTTTTGCTCAGCGCACCTTGGCTGGCCAGACTGCCCTGTGGGGTGGGGTTGAGCTATGGTCAGGCTGGTCTAGGAGGCTGAGTTGGATCAGACCCTGAGACCTGAACTTGCCCGGCCCTGCTTTTTCCTTTTGGGGCTCTGATTGGTTACTGTAGGGGCCGGATGAGCACCTTGACTAGCTGCCCAGAGAGCCACAGGGAGCCAAGTCTGAATGGGCAGGTACCCAGGGAGGCGCCACCATGCTGAGGGGATAGCCAGGCGTGCTGTGGGCTCTGCTGGCATTCCCTAAGAGCCGCTGGGACAGATCGGTTTTGGGGATCTCGGATCTCGCCACTATTTGCAATTTGATAGTGATTAAAAGGGCAAGACAAACAAAAGCCCCTCTATGCCCTGCCTCAACGCACCAAATTAATAATCATACGACAACTTATGCGGGCCTCAGAGGAGAAGAAAGCAATTAGAATAACAGCTCATTGGAGGGCCCCGGGCGGCTGGGGATCAAACTCCAGGCAACAGGGCTTCTGTTTGATGTGGTTATGAATTTGTTTTCAAAAGAAAATCTTGAAAAAGAGTCTTTCAAGAGAATTTTTTTGCAGAACCTGCCTAGCTTTGATCCCTGCCTGGGACCCCTGAAGGCCCTGGCCTTGTGGATACCTCAGCCAAAACAGCCAGAGGTGGACAGGCAAGGCTTGGGACACCAGGGCCTGGCCTCGAGGGGAGGGAGGCCTGTGATTCACCTCTGGGATAGCATTTATGGTTCTCCTGGGGTCCTGGTCCAAAGGCAGAGTGGATTTCCACTAGGGACAGGCCAGGGCGCTCTGAAGGGAAAGAGGCAGAGGCCACGTTGGCCCTCTTCCTGTCTGTCTTCAGGAAGGAAATGCTGTGGAGCCATTCTCAGGATGGATAACCCAGGGAACAGAGCAGTCTCAGACCAGCTCGGGGATCCACATGGAGTAGGGAAGGGGTCCAGGGGATCCAGGAAGGGACAGGTTGCGCAGAAGCCTGGGCCCAGAACACTCTGCTCTGGCTGGGGTTACTCAGTCTATCTGTGCCACAGCTGACACTTGCCCCATATCCTGCTCCCATACCTTACAGACCAGGAAACGAGGCCAGTGGAAGCTGACCAGGGCTCACTAAGACCCAGCCCATGCCTTGGACCTGCCTGCGCCCTCATCCCTCCTGTATACCCCAGCTCCCACAACACCCCTAACACTTCCACCTAAGCCAGACAAGTAAACACCTCCCTGGTGCTGTCCAGCCAGGGTGGGCTTCCATTTTTCATAGAAGTAAATGAGGCTTGGTGACAGGAAGAAGCCTGTCCAAGGCCACCGGAGGACAGGGAGGGGCTCAGGCAGAAGTTGAGGGCTGGTGAGGGAGCACTTCTGGGCCTCCAGTAAGCACCTACTTTACCCAAGTCTCACGCATCTCATCTCTAACGTTCCTGTGTGGTGGCAGTGGTACTCCTCATTTCACAGACACTAGAGAGGGGTGGGACACAGGGGTTGCAGGAAAGGATATGTAGCTCCTGGTCCCATCACCTGCCTCCCACCCTGGCTGCAGGTCTGCTGTTATCTGGGACCCTGCTGACCCCTGAGCCTGTCTTGCAGTGGCTACAGCTGAGGCTGGAGCTGAGACCTTGAATCCATGGACACAGCCCCAGCTCCACTAGTACCAGCCTTCCTTGCTGGGACTCTGCAGTAGCCCCTTGGCCGGTCTCCCCATCTCAGTGTGCTTTTACACAGCGAGACTCAAAACACAAACAGATCATATCACTGTCCTGTGGCCCGGGAGACACCTGAG